GTGACCTACAATTAAGACTGCTTTAGAAAATGTTATAGCATTGTTCACGCCACTGATTGGAGGTAAGAACAAAAATCTTTGCTGTTAATACTTCATATGCAATATTAAGGATTTGAGCAACAATCGTTTCCACTCAAAAAATGTATTCAAATAACAATGCAAGACGGAACTTACATCAAATAAGAATGAAAGATGCAACTCTTATTCAATAAAGACTTTTCAATTTATATGCTGAATGTTGAAAAAACTAAATAAAAAGTCGGTATCTGTAAGTATTTTTTTCAAAGGCAAGAGTTATAACAATAACAATATGATTAAGATATTTTTCTGAGCTATGGCTTATAGAAAATAAACAATAAAATCTGTAAGACCAAGCAAACAAAAACCTTCACAAATCATTTATAAGCTATCATATATTTTTAAAGAACTTTTACACCTTTTAGCATGTGTGTATATATTTTTTTACATATGCTTAAATTTGCTATTTTCCTGTGAAGCTGGTCAATTTTCAACAGTCCTCCAAAAGAAACAAGGGACAAATGGACAAAGATTAAAGCCCTATGAGGCGGTTACTGAGGGCAAGACTTGAACTTAGGGTATCAAATACTAAAAAATAGCCTTGTACACTTAAAATTATTTGTATTTTAATCCCTGATACTCCATCAAAGATCTAAAGCAAAGCTTATAGGGCTTCCCTGGTGGCACAGTGGTTGAGGGTCCGCCTGCCGACGCAGGGGACACGGGTTTGTGCCCCGGTCCGGGAAGATCCCACATGCCGCGGAGCGGCTGGGCCCATGAGCCATGGCCGCTGAGCCTGCGCGTCCGGAGCCTGTGCTCCACAACGGGAGAGGCCACAACAGTGAGAGGCCCGCATACCGCAAAAAAAAAAAAAAACCTTATATATACTTTTTACTTTTTAAAATTTTTGTTTTTTATTTTTTACTTTTTTTTAACATCTTTATTGGAGTACAATTGCTTTACACTGTTGTGTTAGTTTCTGCTGTATAACAAAGTGAATCAACTATACGTAATACATATACCCCACATCCCCCATTCTTTTTACTTTTAACAGTAAAAGCTGTATAGTCAAATTTATCTTTTTCAATGAACGATATTTTGACCACCTTTCTGTGGTAGTTCAAGGTGGCCACTTGCAGTGTTTTGATTAACAAATGTATGAAGAAGCCTTAGTGGAATATATTTTACATCACAGCCTTCTCAATGACAAATGTTACGGAATGACAGAATGGCTGACACACTGTACACACAAACAAAAACACAGCTCTACACTGTATATTGTTCCTTAAAGCAGTCCTTTTCTTTCTCAGTTTGAAAGTGCTTTTTAGCTCTATAGCAACCACTAAGTGATAAAAGGACAAAGAAAACCTCTAACGTGTATTAATTTGATAAAACAAAGTCAATAGCACTTGGCTAACAAACCATTTTGAGATATTCTACTTGAAAGGCAAAAATGTTTAAATATGGCATTTCCTCTCATATAAAATTTAAGCCTAAAGAAACATTTTAATGGCGAATGTGATTTAAACCAGGCAATTTGGTTTGGAGGCTTGGTACTCTCTGTGTCGTTTCTACTGATGTGTGGAATTTTAAGAAGATGATTTATAACAATTCTTTATCAGAACAGAGGGGGATTTTACATTTTCTATGAGCTGTTGATAATTGATGCATGCAGTAAAATACCATATGTTGTTCTAAATTCTCCATATTCTTGTTTAGTCCAATCAAGACTATATAGTTACTTAAATGGCTTTGTTTGTACGAATATCAGAAATACTTTAAATTAAAAGTAAAGAAGTTACTGATCAAAGTTCATAATGGTAATAAATAACAGCTGGCTGTACCTTGTAACCCTCCCATTCCAAAGAGATTCAGACCTGTATCTTTCACAGGCAGGTCTCCTGCAGTCTCATCAGTTGGACCAGACATTGTGTATCTGTGGAGAGAAGAAAATTCAAATAAAATCTTTCCAAGTTGTAACATTAACTGTGCAATGGAATGAACCAAATAAAATGAATAAGGCACTAGAACTTTAATGGACATCTTATTGACCACATGTGCTGCTTGAAGAAGATGAAAGCTTCTATTTTAAAAGTAATACTACATTCGGGCTTCCCTGGTGGTGCAGTGGTTGAGAGTCCGCCTGCCGATGCAGGGGACACGGGTTCGTGCCCCGGTCCGGGAAGATCCCACATGCCGCAGAGCGGCTGGGCCCATGAGCCACGGACGCTGGGCCTGCGCATCCGGAGCCTGTGCTCCACAACAGGAGAGGCCACAACAGTGAGAGGCCCACGTACCACAAAAAAAAAAAAAA